GTCGCGGGTGTGAGCCATACACCACGTCCGAGTTGCTCCCCTTAATCTGTTCCTGTTCACATACGATTAAATCGTCAGCAGAATAGTACTTAGGAAATGAAATTTACGTACCCTGAAATATTGAAGCTAATAAAATAAGACTCTGAAATGTTAAACCTCCCAAATAAGATCAATAGGAGTGCGAATCTAACATAATAAACATAGATTCCACACGAGGTCTCAGTCAAATGAAAAAAAATGTGGTGGGTGAGAGCGCCATTCGGACGCCGGGAGTCGAACCCGGGCTTCCCACACACCATCTCTTTTCCAATGCATAGAAAGCTGGTGTGCGCCGCGCACCACGTTCGATTCCTTAAACCAAAGTGCACCTGGGCACAGTAAGATAGAATCGTCAGTACAATCCAGCAGAGAATGAATAGGATTTAACCTTACATGCCCTAAAATATTGAACCTAAAATACTGTTGAACCTCTCAAAACAAGATCCTTCATCCTCCCCTCACGTCGAAGTCCGCCGCTTTTTTACCTCGCACTTGCTCCAACTCATCTTAGATAAATAGCAGGCCCGGAGTTCTCTCAGCGATCGCAAGCAAGTCTCGAGCTGGAACCACAAGCAAGTTTCGGGCTGGAACGACGACCCCACTGTCACCAGACACAATTCTCGGCCCCCTGATAGAAAAGAGCACTGGCTAGAAGATCATTCGGACGCCGGAGTCGAACCCGGGTTTCCCGCTCGCACTAAAGGCTCTTCTCGTTGAAATGGTGAGGGGTGTGCGCCATGCACAATGTCCGAGTTCCATACCGGATTGCTCAGGCTGGGACGACCCCACTGCCACCAGACATAATTCTCGGCCCCCTGAAAAAAAAGAGCATTAGCTAGAAGATCATTCGGACGCCGGGAGTCGAACCCGGGTTTCCCACCTTCAAAGGTTGGCAGATGCGTCGAAAGGTAAGCTGGTATACACCGTGCACTACGTTCGATTCCCTGCCTTTGATCTGCGCCTGTTTAAAAATAATGTTTCCCGCTCGCACTAAAGGCTCTTCTCGTTGAAATGGTGAGGGGTGTGCGCCCTGCACTACGTCCGAATTCTCATATCTGATTTCAAGCAGTATGAATGCTCAATTTCAAGCAGGACGGATGCTCAATTTCAAACCGTGCAAAAATAAATGTCAGATTAGCGGAAGGGACGACTCACTCGGTGTGAGCTTTGGATAGCGATGAATCTACATACGAATCTGCACCATGGCCAGGTGGTCGGGTCTCAGAGTGAGGTCATTTGGGGGTGATAGTCAGTTGTTGGGCGACAAGTTCCTGGAAATTCTCGCGTGATAATATCTGGGAAGTTCTCCTGTGATAGGTATCGTGGACAACTCTTCTCACAAGGGAACGCCCGAGGGCGCCAAGCCGCGTCTGCGGTGATAGAAGTAGCGGCCAGGAAGTAGAATGCAACGTGGTGCGCACGTGAACCTGAGCTGAGCCTTCCGGTCCGATTCGATGACGACGATGCTTTGGACATTAATTTGAAGGCGAAAATGTTACACAATGTGGACAAAATGATTGAACGATGGGGTTTTGATCATTTCTGAATGATTACAGCATATTTCGACTCAAACTAAGATGTCAGATTGTCGAGAGAGTCGACGCCGACGTTTCTAGCACATGGATGAGATCAAAACATTTTGATGCGCCATCAGAACAGTCCAATTACGGAAATTCGTGTTTTCTGGCTCAATCAGTAAATTCTTTTTTGAGGATCTGAATCACCCAAATTGTAGCCTGGGATATGCTGATCAGTGCCCCTCTTTGAATCATGCAAAATATACAGGCAATAACGCGCTACAGCGGCTGCAAAGTGGGCAAAAACAGTAAAAATGGCCCAAAAACAGCAAAATATGGCAAAAATGGCCACTTTGCGGCCGCTGTAGCATGCCATTGGCTGTATATTTTTGTATGATTCAAAGTGGGGAACTGATTTGCATATCCCAGGCTACAATTTGGGTGATTCAGATTCTCAAAAAAGAACTTACTGATTAAGCCAGAAAACACGAATTTCCGTAATTGGACTGTTCTGATGGCGCATCAAAATGTTTTGATCTCATCCATGTGCTAGAAACGTCGGCGTCGACTCTCTCGACAATCTGACATCTTAGTTTGAGTCGAAATATGCTGTAATCATTCAGAAATGATCAAAACCCCATCGTTCAATCATTTTGTCCACATTGTGTAATTTGAAGGAGAGGATGGAATGGGATACCTGCGTCGAAGGATGCGATGGGGACCCGGGATACGTATGTGGCAGGTGGTATGTATAATGTAGAACGATGCAGTGCAAGAGGCCCTAGGATGCCTGAGACGATGCCCACGCGGACCTAAAATAGGACGGCAGACACCGAAATAAGAGAGACATTCCCAAAGCAGCACGGCCCACCGTCAGCTGTGTGGGATGCGCCAGATGTTAACATCGCCGCGTCAGATTTAGACGCACCTCTGAACTCCCATCCATCATATGTCGTGCAGGATCAACGTGGATCTCGATAATCACTTCCGAGGGATGATTGTGAACGGTAATTGAGAGATGAGTACTTACCAGGTGGTAGGTGGGTAGGTATGTAGCATTACACGGCATGGTCCGAATAACGAACAGGAATTATCGCGGCGTACAAAGCAAGCTAAACTACGCCATGAACGGAGATGCCATACAATCCGTTATGGCTAGCAGGATCCGATATGAACAAGGGGCGTGACTTGCGGGGATGCGAGTGAGTCATGGCATGGATGCTCATGAAATTTTAGGTAGTCTCTTATAAACAGACGCTACAACAATTCTCGCTCGTACCTCGCGTGTTGTAGTCTGTCAATTACTCGATCACTGTCATTGGTACCCGATGTTATTATGTAATCTTAAATTTCTCGAGCCTCGTACATGCGTTCACAACACCTTTTTGCCCGTTCTTGGGTCAGATTAACATTTATTTCACTAGAATGAACACCTTCTCCTGCTAAATTTCCGGCCCCAACGTCAAAGCCAGGATGCCGAGGTTTGATGGCATCAATGATGATCAATCCAGCATTCTCGTCTACTTAGAAGCTGGACACAGAGACGAGATTCGAACAGACAGTTCTCTCAAGAATCGGTATAGAATACCTCTGGCCTCCTAGGATTTCCAATAGAACCTGTGCTAAGCGTAGAACACCGCAGGTCGAAATTCAAACTCAGCACTTTACATAATAAGTGGGGGGTACCAATGACGTGCCACGCGGTTAACTACAGACTACATTTTAGGTAGTCTCTTATAAACAGACGCTACAACAATTCTTGCTCGTACCTCGCGTGTTGTAGGGGTCAGGACGAGGGATGTGTGTCATGCGAGAAGGCGAGAATTGACAAGTGACAAGGGCTCGCACGTCAAATACAGGCTAGTGTGGCGCGTAGCGATAGCGATGGAGGACAAGACGAACGACGCAAGGGAACAAGGTCAAGGTGAATCGGAACAGTCCGACTAAGAATTCATCCGTGATTTTGGATTGATCCGATTTGATGGTTCAAGTTCGAAAATTCACGACGCCGAACCAGAAGGGTGCGACAAATAGGACTGAAAAGGCGGAAGGGAATTTTATTTCAGAGATTTGGCGTCACTTCCCGCCGCACCTGCCTCCGGGTAGACCACAAGCAAAAAATGAACGCCAGCAAATAAAAAGGGCCGGCTTCAACATACATTGATCGCACGCCGGAAGTCGAGCCCGGGCTTCCCGCTGGCACTGAAGCTGAAGGCAAAGTGACATCGTGGCGATTTGCACCATGCACCACGTCCCATTGCTTATAGCCACCGTGCACCTATAATAAGACAGACAATGATCAGTCCTAGTCCGACACAGGAAGAGAAAGGAAGAAAGAAAAAGACAATGCTGGCTAGTCTATTCGGACGCCAGGAATCGAACCCAGGCTTCCCGCTGTCGAAGAATAGGTTGGTCCTGTGGGGGACCGAGGTCGTGTCCAGGTCGTGCAGGTGAGATCGCCGAGTCGTGCAGCAAAAATAGGTGATGGCTGGAGAAGAATCAAAGTAGGCGTAGATCAAGAAAGAGAGTGAATAGAATAGGAAACTTAGCTCAGGTGTCTTAAAATGAGAGTGGATTCGCGCGAGGATGCTCAGAAACGAGGTGTATACGTGGTGGTAAAAGACAAAGAGGGTATGATCCGTGATCTACCAACAAATAAATATCAAAAGGATATAAATAAGAGTCCATCATTGGAAAGCCGCGGCTAAAGTCAACCCAACTCCAGCAGTCCGGGAACTACGCAAAGACGAGATAGGGAGACTCGCTGCCCCGCAACAGCATCGAGGATGGGTGCCCAATCCACCTCGAGGTCAATCCCCAGCGTAGTCCGAGATGCCCGAAGTGGTTCAACCAGTCGCATTGGCGGTACATAGTGCGAAAGAAATAATTGTAAGTGAACTGCGCAAAGTCTCAGCATTGTAAAGGGAAACAAAATCTGAGAGAAAAAGATGGAAAGAATGTGAGTAAAGATAAATTGAGCAAGAATGATTGGCTGGAAGAATGAAAGAAATATGGAACACAATGTGCCGGAATATTTGGTTGGATGCTTGAACTGGCTCAGGAATTGAAGGCGACGTGCGAGGCAGGTCGCATTTCCACACCGCCGCGATCAGTTCCGTCAACGGTGAACCGAAAGCGGGTGTGCGTCATGCACCACGTCCGAGTTCTTATACCTGGTTTCAAGCGGGGGAAATGATCAAGTTCAGGATGAGTAAAATAAATATCAGACCACTGAAAACATTTGTACAGAAGCCGGGTGTGTGTCCGACTTCCCGGTATCCAATCTGTACCTGTCTTTGTAGGATGAAATCGGCAGCATGCCAGCCAAAAGGGTTCACTGGCAAATCTTATCGAAACTCCTCGTCCATGAAGGGCTGAGAATTATAAATCCATTCTGAATGAACTGCGCAAGGAAGAGAGAAAAAAACATCAAAGAAATGTACATTCGGACGCCGGGAGTCGAACCCAGGTTTCCTGCCAAATATTTTCCATAGTACATCAATGTGATGGGAGTGGGTGTGTACCGTGCACCACGTCCGAGTTACCATATCCGCTATGCCCCTGCCTATGTAAGAGTGAATCTTCAACACACCAGCAAATGAAGTTTATCCTCAAACTTTTAAATACGTTCACTAGAAATCGCAAGCTGAACAAACTTTTGCACCACGGAGAGAGAAGGGTCTCTGGACACGTGCGGATCAAAAAAAGTTTCTACAATTCGGACGCCTGGAGTCGAACCCGGGTTTCCCGCTAGCACAAGAAATCGACTACCTAATGGTGGGGGGTGTGCACTGTGCACCACGTCCGAGTCCCCATACCCAATCTGCGCCAGGCTAAATAAGAGCGAATCCTCAATCCACCGGTAAATGAAGCCCATCTTCAAAATGTTAAATACATTCACTAGAAAGCGCCAGCTGAAGAGAGAATTCTTGCACCTGAACCGCGCAGAAAGGAAGAGAAGGAGAAAGAAGGGTTTTTATGTAGATATTTGTAGATCAAAAAAGGCTTGGTTATCCCTGTGCATTCGGACGCCGGGAGTCGAACCCCGGCTTCCCGCCTTCTCACGCTTACCCGTCCGGCATGAAGGAAAGCGGGTGTGCGCCGTACACCACGTCCGAGGTGATATGGTGGATGTGCACCTGAATACGTGGGCTAAGGAACGGGGAGGAATTCAATCATTATGGATGAATAAATGTCCATGTGGATGTTTTTTGTAATAAGGAAAGCGCCAGCTGTAACATACAACATATGGTTCCCCAACGGGAATGTCAAGGGAAAAGGGAGAGAGTAGGACTGACAAAAAATTCCGTTGCTAGAAGATCCATTCAGACGCCGTGAGTCGAACCCGGGCTTCCCGCGTACTAGATTTGCTACACCAGAATAAGCAGCGGGTGTGCACCATGCACCACGTCCGAGGTGATAGAGGGTATGTGCACCTGTGCAAGTAAGAGAGAACCGAGCAGCGATCAGAGAATAACTAGGGTGGTGCCTTTGAACTATTGAACCCGGAATACTGTTGAACCTCCCCGAATGTCGTAATTGTGAGTACGAGGTCCAACTCGCACACAAAACCACATAAACCCTCGGCCGCCTGAAAAAAAGAGCACTGGCTAGAAGATCATTCGGACGCCGGGAGTCGAACCCGGGCTCCCCACCGCATCACACTTTCATTAACTATGGAAAGCGGGTGTGCGCCGTGCACCACGTTCGACTTTCTATACCAGCGTGCACCTGTATAACTAAGAAAGAATCGAGCGGGGCCAGCGGAAAACAGAATCGAACTCTACTTTGCCTGAAATCCCAAGGTGAGATTACTGGGAGTACGAATCAACCTCGGCGAACTTGCAAAAACAAAATTGAGAGATTCCAAAATGCACTGAAGAGATGCGGAATGGCGGGGGAAAAAGTCAACTCTGCATGGAGCATTCGGACGCCGGAAATCGAACCCAGGTCTTCCGCATCTAGCTGAGATCACATAATGCAAAACCGAGGTGCAGTGTGCACCACGTCCGAGTTCCTATACCCAAAGTGCACCTTGGTAAGTAAGAGCGAATCGAGCCGGACCAGAGAATGTATAGAATTGAACGTTACGTGCCCTGAAACGTTGAACCTAAAATAAGACCCTGAAATGTTCAATCTCCCAAAGTGAGATTATCAAAAGGACGGAGTCGAACCCGGGGGTAAAAAAAGAGACAAGCTCCCATGCGAATGATAAAAAAAAATCGTCCTTCGCCCTACATTCGGACACCGGGAGTCGAACCCAGGCTTCCCGCCTTCTCACGTGTACCTTGCTGGCATGAAGGAAAGCGGGTGTGCGCCGTGCACCACGTCCGAGTTCCTATACCTAAAGTGTACCTCGGTAAGATAGAATTGTCAGGACAATCCAGCAGAGCCTTCACCTAAATACTCGCGACCTTGAAATGCGGGACCTCCCAAAATGAACCTCCCAAAACAATAACCTTCCTCCGCCTCCAACACTACTATTTGTGACTGCCAACCTGGCCGGACTAGGAACCTGGCCACTTGCCCTGTAGGAGACGTGCATGCGACCCAATGTCTGTCCTGGTTATTTGAGGATGAGGAGGGACCTCATATGTTGGTGCACACTAAGTTTTGGCAAATTTGAATGTTGTGATCGTCTGTTGTGGCGTGCGGATCAGCGGCTCGAACGTCAATCGTGTGATTTCCTTAATTCTGATCCGGTATCCACAACAAACAATCGCACCGTGCTTCGTCAATTCTGCTTCAATCCACCATGTCAGATACTTGCCCGACACCGTTGAGACTGGGCTTTCTTCTGGCAGCCTCTATGGAGGGCCTGGGCGCCGTCTAATCTTATTATCTCGCCATGAATTCTCACTGTCAACGGGAAATGAGTGTCAGAAGAGATATATCGGCAACGCTCGTGGTGCATGAACCGCAGATGCTACTGCCTGCAAAATTTGGGAGAGCATTCAGCAAGGTTAATGCTTTAATTCTAGGGGTAGATCACCTTTTTCACGATTTTATTCATACCGTGCTGGTGTCGCTTACAACAAACGGTCGATTTCATTGATGCCGACAACCCAAACGTCGGGTTCTCAGCAGCAAGGCCCAGGGGTCGAGTAGATGTATCAGGTATGTTCATTAGGTTCCTATGAACAATTCTAGACCCCTTCCTGAATCCCTCATGATCTTTTGACCATGTGAAATTCATTACAATGGGACAGGTTTTCGCATATTTCACCCACACCTGTGTGCCATCAGGGCTCGATTCGTGATGCATGTCTTTGTTGTTATTCTGAGTGAATACAGTCATTTCTTATGCTCTGCGTTCACATTTCTCCTGCACGCGATCCCTCTGAGCCTATAAAGACTGCTACGCTCGCGACCTTTCAGCAGCACTTTCCCCTTGCTTTTGGTGTTCTTTCCCCAGATCTTCTTATATTCTGCCTTCTGTTATGCCTTCAAACTCCTCCGACGCTACTGCGGCCCCTACTCTCGACGTTCTCGCAAACATAAACCTCGCAAGTGTTAATATGGAGGATCTCAACATTGAGCTGAGGTACAAACTGGCCATTGAGGCCGTGCGAAACCCTATCTGCCATACCTCGGCTCGCGAAGCTGCCTTTCAATTCTGTGTTCCTTGCAGCACCCTCGGCACCCGCCGAAGAGGATGAGAATGCGGCGGAGACTGAGATTCTCGCCAAAGCATAAATACCTCATTGACAAAGCGGTTTTAGCCAGTAATTAAGCTGTTCTAGTGTTTCCAGAGGTCCAATGTATTGCTTGGGTGTGTCTAAGATCATTGGTGTTGCTTGAGGATGCATGAGGAAGCGTCGAAACGAGTAGAAACGGGGATCATTCAAATGTTCCCACGCCTGGCCAGGTACCCGGTTTTGGCCCGTTTTGGACCTGCCGCCGGAAAATATTTGCCGAGCCATCAGATCTTGACAGAATTCCTTGCTTCAGGACTCAAACGACTCCCAGGAAGCACGCCTATGTCCTTGGGCTCTACGCCGAAGGACCAGTACTCAAATTCCTCCCCTACATGTACAAAACCCCTTAGGTGGCCAGGTTCCCCCTCCCAGATAGTAACCACACATCACAACAATTACCATCCGACTTTTTAAAAAAGGGCACTGGTTAGAAGACCATTCGGACACCGGGAGTCGAACCCGGGCTTCCCACACACATCTCATAGTGAATTCAGAGAACAAGGAAAGTGGGTGTGCGCCGTGCACCACGTCCGAGGTGATATAGTGGATGTGTACCTGGATACGTTGAAGGGATTTATCATGAAGATGCATAGAGAGAACACGCATCACAGAGAGAAACATACGACGCATTGAGAAATAGGACGCACAGAGAATGACAACTTAGACAAGAGACATGTCGAACGACAGAATCACCTCCGCGGACGAACTCAAGACACATGAGACCGAAACGTTGGAACGACAACAACCAGGTGTCGGAATGGAAGCGGATAGGATATATAATACAGCGGGTGTTGTGCTTTAGATAGAAAGAAATGTGCGTAGGGAAATACCGGTAGAAGGAAATGTAGGTAGAGTGTAGGTGTAGATTATAGGCTGTTTTGTGTACTTGTCGCTCCGGGTGACGCTACCCATGGACGGTCCCGAAGCGAAACCCGTGAGTCAGATATTTTAGCGCGCGGATGGGACATGTGGCGCGATATGTGGGTGGAAGCGCGATGTAGTGGTGGTAGAGGTGTGGCGTCGGCGGCAGAAAAACGGAGGCCACGGTGAAATAGAGAACGGCAGACGTACGCCAAAAAGAAGACTGGCGCACCCTCAATACGAATCCCCCCTCCTCGGCCTTCGCTCCTTCCCAATAACCTCCCGCGTCCGACTGCTCTCCCGACTCCGATCCCTCGAGTCCCTTCCATCCCGCGTCCTACTACTCTCCCGACTCCCATTCTTACTATCCTCCCTCCACCGAAACTAAACCCGAGCACGCGCCGCAGCAGCGGGACTTCACGCTGCGGCGCGGGCTGCGCGTACACGGGCGACGGCTTGAACATCTGCACCGGCGGCGGCTGCGCATACACGGGCGACGTGGCCTTGGTATTCGGGTACACCGGCTGCCCGCCGTAGCCGGGCTATGGGTACACATACTGCGGCGGCGGGGGGAGCTGGGAGTAGGAGTAGCTGCGCGTATTTGCGGGCGCACGGGGGCGGGGGTGTGCGAGCTCGAGCGCGTGCGGCGGTGTTGTGGCGGCGGCGGCGGCGACGGGGGAGGCACGGCGAAGTAGCCTGCGGGCGGCTGGGGATAGTAGGGCTGTAGCTGCTGGGGCGCGGGTAGAACGGTGGTGCGCCCTGCACACCGTAGACGTTGCCTCTTGGGGGCGCGATTTGCGAGCGTGGTGGGACCGGGCCCGGGGCGGAGACGGGTGGCGGCGGGGAGCGGTGCCGGTGACGGGTGTCCGAAGAATCGCGCATGCTCCACCGGCGCGGCCGGGGCAAGAGGGCGGGTGCGCCGGCGCCGGCGGGCGGGGCGAAGGGGTCGGCCTGGGGCGTTTGGTTCGTCGTGTGCGCCCAGTGCGCGATTAGGTTCTGGGTGTCGAGGTGCCGTATGTACGCCTCTCACTGTAGTCGTATTCCGTCATCTTCTTTCACCTAGAGATTCTGACAGACGATCGCGCACGACACAAAATACGAGCATATTTGACATGCTCAACATTGCTTTCTCCCTTAATTTGGCAAAGGAAAATGTTACGATTTGATGCGGATGCAAGCGATTCGTGAACTGAGGCAGATGGAAATGGAGGAACACATCGGCGGTAGACGAGAAAAGTGGGAAGAGGAAGTGGAAGCGAGCTGCCCGGAACAACAGAAATTGATCGCCGAATTGATCCGGCAGCTGCAACCTAATTCAAGATGATCCTTAGTCGGGCCTGCTGCGCGCACCACGTCAAATTTCCTACACCCCTTGCGCACCAGGCTAAGCAAGAGAGAATCGTCAGCATAATCCAGTAGAAAGTTGTGTTGAACATTACGTGCCCCGAAAACTTGAACCTAAAATACGAGCTGGGCGTCGCAAAATAAGATATGGGTGCGAATCCAACACGAAAAAAGAAATCCAAATTTCACAAGAGTTCCCATGCAGATTACAAAAGGGCAGACACGGCAACCATTCCGACGCCGGGAGTCGAACGCGGGTTCCCGCTAGCACAGCACCCTAAGTTGAAATGGCGGAAGTGTGCGTACTATACCGTCCGATTCTTTACAGTGAACGTGTACCTCCCTAGGTAAGAAAGATCAATTAGCTTGCACAACCCAACACGAATAAAAAAAGACGGTGTTACAGAGCGCAAATCGGATTCCGGCGGTCGAACCCGCCCATATGGTCCTATTCCCTAAATATACGCTCCTAGTGAGATATAGCTGTTGAAGGCGAACTTGCGTTGGTCTAGATGAATGAAGGTTACACACTGAACGTTAAACGTTGAGTGACAGATCCATTGTAGCGGATTCAGCATCTGAGCTGAACAGAGGATTGAACGGAATGTAAATTAAATTGAGTAGGGAAAGACCCTAAAAAGGTTTTTACACTCGTATTATTCGGACGCCCGGAGTCAAACCCGGGCTTTCTGCATATCGGTCTCCCGTTTTCCGATAATGGAAAGCGTGTGTGCGAGATACACAACGTCCGATGTGCCTTTATCCAAGTGCATCTGGTCGAGTGAATAATTAGGATGTGAAGCGGCATCCTCAGCAGAAATAATTGAAGCTCAGCTCCACTGGGAAAATGTGCAAAGGCAAGCGGGTGTGCGCCGTGCACCATGTCCGAGTCCTCATACCTGATTTCAAGCTGGGTAAACGCGAATTGAATTTCAAACCGGGACAATATCAGATCATTCAAAGCAGATAAATAACGCACCACTGAAAGACTCACCTGATGGTCGGTCCTCGGGGCGAGGTGATATTCAGAGTTGTTGTAAGTCCTCCTGCCACAAGTCCCTGGAAGTTCTCCCGTGATAGGTATCGCGGCGATTGAGGGATCGCAAGTTCGTATTCTCTTCTCGCCAGCTCCATTACGATTGACGCCCGCGAGGGTATTAGTATTAGCGGTGATAGAAGTACACTGAGCCCTGAAATGTAAAATAGCGCACCTTCTGATTGTGATACTGACGTACAGTCTTTCCACGGTCCTTGCATTTTCCACGGACCTTGCATGTTATTTTTTTTCTGAGCCCGGAGTCCCTATTTTTAGTGGTTTTCTTCACCTATATCCCTTCATATGATGTGAATGCACCTCCTGCATTTTTTTCAAGCCTCGAGCTTACTTCAGAATTGGGGAATGTGCAGTACAAGGGGCGGATTTACTTTGCCGACAACTGGGGTCAGGAAACTGGGCTGATTTCAACGGGGAAAAGTACCTAGGATGTGCTTCAGAGCTGTCTGTGTAGATTACAAAAAAGTTGAGGTGAGTGGCTGATTGGGTGGTGTGGAACGAGATGAGGAAAGGGCCCACATTCACGTGATGTTATTATTTGGACAAACAACATGATCTAGTCACTCTGCTATGGCCCTGAGTGGCACAGCGGAGTATGTAGAGGCCAGGGAGCGTCATTAGAAAGAGATGAGGGAAGAAAACCCTATTATTCATGCTTCACTGGTCGGATTTGGAAACCCACCAATTCCGCAATATGAGACAATATTGGAACACGGGTGGGAGGTCTATGAGCACCTATCTGTGTAAGAAGGTCCGGAGAGACATTAAAGGTCATAATGTATGGAAGTTTTTGTTAGGTGACATTTTCTTCACCATTTTTACACAGAAATGCAAGGACCGCTGATGGCCAAAAAATCGGCCCGCGCCAATTCGGCCCAAAAAAACAAAAAGCATTGAATTCTTCCAAAATATTTTGTAGGTCCATGGTCTAGACGTTTATACACATCCTGAAGGTACTTGACCTCACCTCAGAACCTTTATTCTATGGCAAGAAATCCAGCTTTCTGAAAGTTCATGCAAGGACCGTGGAAAGACTGTAGTTTGTTCGAGGGAGATCAACTAGTACTGGGACTGGGACACATGCGTCGGAATGTACCAACTGCAAAAATGAAAATCAACCGCTGTAAAAATAAAAATAAATCCACCAGCAAGGACGAAACGTAGGCAAAAAAAGAAATTGATTTTATGGATATTCGGACGCCGGGAGTCGAACCCGGGTTTCCCGCCAAATATTTTCCACTGCGCATGAATGACGATGGGAAGCGGTGCGCGCTGTGCACCACGTCCGACTCCCTGCCTTTGATCTGCGCGGGTTTTAAAAATGATGATAGTATGAACTGCCAAAGGAACAGAGCAAAAAAAAATGTCGTTAGGAAGATCCCATTCGGACGCCGGGAGTCGAACCCGGGTTTCCCACCGCATATTTTCGAGGCCGCGTTGTAATGGAAAGCGGGTGTGAACCGTGCACTACGTCCGAGTTCTCATACTGACCGTGCATCAGGGTAAAGAAGAAATAATAATGAGCGGATAGACCCAATGTTGAGTGGGGAAAAAACGATTAGGCTGGCGAAGTCGGACGCCGGGAGTTGAATCAACAATATCCTTACGAGTACAAAGTCCAACACAAAAACAGACATAATTCTCGGCCGCATGAAAAAAAAAGCATGGATAGAAGAACCATTCGAACGCCGGGAGTCGAACCCGGGCTTCCCGCTGCACCATCTTTTTCTGCACATGGAGGCCGGGGGTGCGCCGTGCACCACGTCCGAGTTCCTATATTGAAAATACATAAGACTAAGGAAGAAATAATAATGAGCGTAGATGAAGCGGAAGTAGAGTGGGGGAAAATGACTTGGCATGCCTGGCGAGGTCGGACCTTGGGAGTCGAACCGGGGTTGCCTGCTAGCACAAGAAATCGAGTATTACCCGCTGCACAAGAATTCTCTTGCCGATTAAATGAAAGCGGGCACGTCCGAGTGTCCATATCCATATCCCCTCTACACCTCCCCGTGTAAGAGTGAATCGCACCACGACCCCAGCAAACAGAGAAGGAACGATGTTCACCCGAATCTCGCACCCTCGTCCGAAATATGTATAACGCAGCAGACACCGCGCGCAACCGAGATAAATCCGGAAGCACGTCCTTTCACCCATAAAAAAGTCTGCGACGTATCAATGCCGGTATTCTAACGCCAGGAGTCGAACCCGGGTTTCCCACCTTCAAAGTTTGGGCAAGACGTCAAAAGGCAAGCGGGTGTGCGCCGTGCACCACGTCCGAGTTCCTACACCTGATTTCAAGCTGGGTATCCTACACATTTTCACCCAGGATGGACACTCAATATCAATTTCAAACTGTGTAAAAATAAATGTCGGATTGGCGGAACGGCGGTGTGAGCTTTGGATAGCGACGAATCTACGAATCTGCACCATGGCCAGGTTGTCGGGTGATTTGGAGGTGATAGTCAAAGTTGTCGGGCGACAAGTGCCTGGAAGGTTTCGTGTGATAATCAATGTCTGGGAAGTTCTTCCGTGATAGGTATCGCGGACCGCTCTTCTCGCAAGGGAACGCCCGAGGGCGCCAAGCTGCGTCTGCGTCTGCGGTGATAGAGGCAGTGGCCAAGAAGTACTGGGCGCTAGACTGTAACGTGTTGCGGGGAAATATAACGTTTGGCACCTCCGCTCCGATACGATGACGACGCGGGGTTGAACGTGCACCAGGTTAAATAAGAGAGAATAATGAGCTTGGATAAACCCAATGTCGAGTGGGGACAAAAAGGTTCTGTGTGGGACCATTCGGACGCCGGGAGTCGAACTTGAGTTTCCCGCATATCCTTCACGTTCTCTTTAATGGAAAGCGGGTGCACCGTGCACCACGTCCGAGTTCCTGTATTCACTGTAGACCTCTCTTTGAAAGACAAAATTGTCAGCATGCCAGCAGAAAACAGAACGAAGCTCAGCCGAATCTCGTCCTCAAGGTAGATCTAAAGCTCCAAGGAGAGGTAAGCATAAATCCATGATATATATGTATATTGCAGACGCCCCCGCGCAACCACGATACATAAATGCGAGAAGCACGACGTTGAGCTGCTGATTTTTTAAAAAGGTGGATTTCAAAGGACAAGTCGGACGTCGGGAGTTGAACCCGGGCCTCCCACCGCATATTTCCGAGACCGCCTGTCATGGAAAGCGGGCGTGCGCCGTGCACTACGTCCGAGTCCTGATACCTGATTTCAAGCAGTATGAATGCTCAACATCAATTTCAAACTGTTAAAATAATAAATGAATGTCGGTGAGCGGAACGGTGTGGGCTTTGGAAGACTCACTCGGTGTCAGCTTTGGACCGGGACGACTCTATGAATCTAAGAATCTGCACCGTGGATAGCGATGAATCTACATACGAATCTGCACCACGACCATGGCCGGGTGGTCGGGTATCGGGTATCGGGTATCGGGTATCGGGGTGGGTGATGTGGAGGTAATACTCAGAGTTGTAGTTGGCGACAAGACAAGTTCCTGGACGGTCTCGCGCGATAATTAATATCTGGCGAGGAAAGTTCCGTGGTAATATCTTGCAAGGTCTCGCGTAATATCTGGGAATCTGGGACGAGAAGTTCTCCCGTGATAAGTATCGCGTCCCGCTCTTCTCGCAAGGGAACGCCCGAGCGTCCGCGTCCGACGAGGATCAAGTATAACGTGGTGCACACCGGAGCCCGAGTTCCTTCTTCCTCGCGTGGTGACGGGCTTTTGGAATCTCCCGTCATAACAGCTTGGAGGTTCTCCCGCACTACGTACCACGTACCACGTATGGCGGCGATTGGGGGACCGTAGGCCCCCGGTCACTACCTACAAAGTCGGTCGGCGATAGGGTAAATCAACGCTTCAAAAAGGCCTTACCTCCGGCCGCTAGATAGGGTAAAACAGCTCTGAAAATGGTGAGGCTCGTCTGGTATAGGGTAAATCGCGCGGAGCGCGAGATTTTTTTTTAACATGATACCTCAGATCCTATTTTACTTAGACTTCTGCACTGTCCAGGCTGTTCGTACCAGGGTCAAGCGTGCACGCGGGCAGCCGTAAAGCACCGGGAGAGGTCTAGGAGCAACAACATTGATAAGGGGAGGAAAAAATGACATTTTTCAGCAAATACTTGGTCGGATATAGGGTAAAACAACCCTCCTGGACCAAAATTTCCAGGGTAAATCAGCATCAAAGTTCAGAAAAAATCCGACCGACTTTGTAGGTAGTGACCGGGGGCCTGGGACCGTATTCACGCAGAGTTCGCGAGCGCTAATCTGCTCGACGAGGAATCACGATCAGCCGGCTGATATAACGTGTTGCGGGGAAACATAACGTGGTGCGGACCTCCGGCCCGATGGGATGACGATATGGGGTCGGACATTGATTGAAGGCGAAGCCGTTCATTTGCAGCCGAAGTCATTAATTTCAAGGCGAAGTCATTAATTTGAAGGAGAGATGGAAAGGGACACCTGCGTCGAAAGATGCGATGCGATGGGAGGCCGGGACGCAGTGGGAAGCCGAGATGTGGCAAGTGGTATTTAGATCGATGCGGTGTAAGAGACCCTGGGATGCCTGGGACGATGCCCACGCGGACCTAAAATAGGACGTCAGACATGCCCAAAGCAGCACGGCAGACACAAGGACCATCATCAGTGTGGGATGCGCCAGGTCCGCGCTAGATATAGACACACCTCTGCATTCCCATCCATCATACGTCGTGCAGGATCAACGTGGATCTTGATAATTACTTCTGAGCGATGATTGTGAACGGCCGTTGAGAGATGAGTATATTACTATTACTTACACTTACCAACGGAGATGCAACACAATCCGTAGTCAGAGTTGGCCTAGCAGGATCCGATATGAAGTGGCGTGGAGGGGCCGTGGCCCGTGGTGAGTGATGGTGAGTCATTGCAGGGACGTTGGAGGCATTTTAGGGGTCAGGACAAGGGACGCGTCGTGCGAGAAGTCGGGAACTGACAAGGGGGTCGCGTCATCGACAGACGCCGCCGGGCTCGGGAGGGTGCGGGCAGCGGGGGTAACGGAGATAGCGGCGTCACTGTGGCAACACGAGTGGCGCATAGCAATAGCGATGGGACAAGACGAACGACGCAAGGAGATCGGAAGAGTCTGAATAAGAATTGATCCGTAATTGCGTGATTCCGGATTGAGCCGATGGGATGTTCGAAAATTCAACGGCGCCGAATTGGAAGTGCGACAATAAAAACCCACTGAAAGAAGCGAGAGAGAAAGAATTCTACTCCACACAGATTGTCACTTCCCGCCGCATCTGCCTGCGGGCAGACCATAAGCAAAAAAAGGACCTGCTTCAACAGACATTGATCGCAAGCCGGGAGTTGAACCCGGGCTTCCTGCATATCCTTACACGTCTCGTCAAATGGAAAGCAGCAGTGCAGCGTGCACTGCGTCCGAGTTCCTATATTAAAAGTGCACCAGGCAAGGTAAGAGAGAATAATGAGCGTGGATCGCGCTAGCACAAGGAATCGAGTGGGATGGGCACCGTACACCACGTCCGAATTCTCTTTCCTACATCCGCACACGGCTAAATAAGAGCGAATCCTCAACCCACCTTCAAAATTTTAAATATGTTCACTAGAAAGCGCCAGCTGAAGAGAATTTCTGTACACCGCGGAGAAAGCAAGAGACCGAAAAAAGAATTTCGTGATCCTCTGCATTCGGACGCCCGGAGTCGAACCCGGACATTTTATTGCAACCTGGGGCAAAATGTGGGTGTGCACCGTGCACCACGTACGAGTTTCCATATCCCTTGTGCACCTGCCGATGTAGGAGAGGATCGTCAGCATACCCCCAGTAACAAGAGAACGAAGCTCATCCGAATCTCGCGCACCCTCGTCCTCAAGCTAGGTCTAGATCTCCCAGGATATGTAAGATATATAAGTATAACTCCCATGATATGTATAACGCAGCGCGCAAATGAGGTACACACGCCACGCGCAACGGAGATAAATGCAGAAAGCACGACCTCTTACCCATAAAAAAGTCTGCTACACCTGTATTCGAACGCCGGGAGTCGAACCCAGGTTTTCCGCTGGCACTAAAGCTTTAAAGGCTAAAGTGGAATCGTGGGGGGTGCGCACCGTGCACCACGTCCGAGTTCCTATGCTGACCGTGCACCAGGCTAGGTAAGAGAGAATAATGAGCGTCGATGAAGCGGAAGTAGAGTGGGGGGGAAAAATGGCTTGGCATTGCGCAGTCGGACGCCGGGAGTCGAGCCCGGGTTTCCCACCTTCAAAAGTTGGCAGATATATCGAGAGGTAAGCGGATGTGCACCGTGCACCACGTCCGAGTTCCCATATCCCCTCTACACCTCCCTATGTAAGAGCGAATCCTCAGCCCAGAAAATGGGGCTCACCGTGGAATGTTCAATGTCTCGCGGGAGCGCGAAAGCTGAAGAAAGAATTTCTGCAGCGCGGCAAAAAGAGCTCTATATAATACACAATTTGGACGCCGGGAGTCGAACCCGGGCCTCCCGCCTTCAAAGGTTGCCATCTTCGTCGAAAGCCGGGCGTGCACCATGCACCACGTCCGAATTCCTGTACAGAACATGTACCTGGTTAAGTAGGGGAGGATCGTCACCATAACCTCAGTGAAAAGAGAAAGAAGCTCACCTGAATCTCGCACACCCTTGTCCTCTAGAGCCCCAAAGACATATGAGTATCAGGAAGGGGGTTGCGTGCGAAAGCGGGAACACGCTGCGCGGGGATGAGACGCGCGAAAAGTAAGACGTTGGAGTACCGATAAAAAAGAAATAATTTTCTGCACCGCGGGGAAAGATTGAAGAGAACGAGCAAGAAGGGTCTCTAGACACTTGGGGATCAAAAAGAGCTTGATGATCCCCACATTCGGGCGCCGGGAGTCGAACCCGGGCTTCCCGCCTTCAAAGTTTGGCAGATATTGAAAGGCAAGCGGGCGTGCACCGTGCACCACGTCCGAGTCCTCATACCTGATTCCAAGCTGGATAAACGCGAATTGAATTTCAAACTGGGACAATATCAGATCATTGAAAGCCTTTAAATATCGCACCACTGAAAGACTCACACAGTGATCGATCCTCGGGGCGAGGTGATAGTCAGAGTTGTTGTAAGTCCTCCTGCCACATGTCCCTGGAAGTTGTCCCGTGATAGGTATCGCGGCGATTGAGGGATCGCAAGTTCGTATTCTCTTCTCGGCAGCTCCATTACGATTGACGCCCGCGAGGGTATTAATATTAGCGGTGATAGAAGTACACTGAGCGCTGAAATGTAAAATAGCGCACCTTCTGATTGTGATACTGACGAGGCGGCTCTAGATATTATGTAGTTTGTTCGAGGGAGATCAACTAGTGGACACATGCGTCGGAATGTACCAACTGTAAAATTAAAATAAACAAACCAGCGAGGACGAGGGAAGACGAAACGTAGGCAAAAAAGAAGTGCACTTTATGGACATTCGGACGCCGGGAGTCGAACCCGGGCTTCCCGCTGCACCATTCTCTGGATCTTCATATTATGGAAGCGGGGGTGCGCCATGCACCACGGCCGAATTCCTATACTGACCGTGCACAAGGATGGGTAAGAGAGAATAATGAACGTGGATAGACCCAATGTCGAGTGGGAGCAAAAATGTTCTGCGTGGATCCATTCGGACGCCGGGAGTCGAACCGGATACTGACGAAGTGACTCTGGATATTATGTAGTTTGTTCGAATGAGATCAACTAGTACTGGGACACATGCGCCGGAATGTACCAAGTTGGCCGACTGTAAAAATAAAAATCAGCCACCGTAAAAATGGAAAATCAGCCAGCGAGAACATCGATGGAAGACGAAACGTAGGCAAAAAAGACCTGGATTTCTCCATCATTCGGACGCCGGGAGTCGAACCCGGGTTTCCCGCCGCATATTTCCGAAACCGCCTTGTCATGGAAAGCGGGTGCACGCCGTGCACCACGTCCGAGTTCCCATACTGAACGTGCACCAGGCTAGATAAGAGAGAATAACGAGCGTGAATAGACCCAATGTCGAGGGGAGAAAATGACTTGGCATTGCGCAGTCGGACGTTAGGAGTCGAACCCGGGTTTCCCGCCGCCTATTTTCGACGCCGCGCTATGATGGAAGCGGGTGCGCGTCGTGCACCACGTCCGAGTTCCCATACTGACCGCGCACCAGGCTAGGTAAGAAATAATAATGAGCGGATAGACCCAATGTCTAGTGGGGGCAAAAACGTTCGCTGTCGTGTAATTCGGACGCCGGGAGTCGAACCCGGGTTTCCCGCCGCATATTTTCGACGCGGCGTTATGATGGAAAGCGGGTGTGCGCCGTGCACCACGTCCGAGTTCCCATACTGACCGCGCACCAGGCTAGGTAAGAAATAATAATGAGCGGATAGACCCAATGTCTAGTGGGGGCAAAAACGTTCGCTGTCGTGTAATTCGGACGCCGGGAGTCGAACCCGGGTTGCCCACTCGCACTAAAGGCTTGCATGAAATGGTGGGGGGTGTGCGCCGTGCACCACGTCCGAGTCCTCATCCCTGATTTCAAGTTGGGTATCTTACACCTGGATTCAAGCAGTGTGGATGCTCGATTTCAAGCAGGATGGATGCTCAACATCAATTTCAAGCTGTTAAAATAATACATGAATGTCGGATGAGCTTTGGAAGACTCACTCGGTGCGAGCTTTGGAAGACTCACTCGGTGTGGGCTTTGGACCGGGACGACTCTGCGAATCTGCACCGTGGATAGCGACGAATCAATCTACATACGGATCTGCACCATGACCACGGCCAGGTGGTCAGGTCTCGGGTCCCGGGGTGGGTGATGTGGAGGTGATACTCAGAGTCGTTGACGACAAGGTCTCGCGCGATAATTAATGTCTGGCGAGGGAAGTTCCGTGGTAATATCTTGGAATGTCTCGCGTAATATCTAGGAAGGGGAAGGTCTCGCGTAATATCTGTATCTGGGACGGGACGTTCTCCCGTGATACGTATCGCGGCCGCTCTCCTCGCAAGGGAACGTCCGAGTGCGTCTGCGTCTGCGGGGCGCCGTGAGCGCTAAAATGTAACGTGGTGCGCACGTGAGCCGAGCCTGAGTTCCTTCTTTAAGATTCCTTCCTCGCGTGGTGACGGGCTTGGGATTTTTCCCGCCATAAACAGCTTGGAGGTTCTCCCGCACTACGGCAACGTATAACGCACCGCAAGGTGGCGGCGATTAAGGGACTCGCGGGCGCCAATCTCCTTGACGAGGAACCATGATCAGCTGGCTGATATAACGTGTTGCGGGGAAATATAACGTGGTGCGGACATTCCGGGCCGATGGGATGACGATGTGGGGTTGGACATTGATTTGAAAGGGAAGCCGTTCATTTGTAGCCGAAGTCATTAATTTGAGGCGAAGTCATTAATTTGAGGGAGAGATGGAATGGGATAGCTGCGTCGAAAGATGCGATGCGATGGGAGGCCGGGATGCGATGGGAACCCGGGACACGTATGTGGCAGGTGGTATGTATAATGTAGATCGATGCGGTGCAGAGACCCTGGGATGCCTGAGACGATGCCCACGCGGACCTGAAATAGGACGGCACACACCGAAATACGAGACATGCCCAAAGCAGCACGGCGGACACAAGGATGCGCCAGATGTTAACATCGCCGCGCCGGATTTAGACGTACCTCTGCATTCCCATCCATCATCTGTCGCGCAGGATCAACGTGGATCTTGATAATTACTTCCGCGCTGATTGTGAACGGCCGTTGAGCTCCGCTGAGATGATTATATATTCTATTAGGTACTTACCAGGAACGGAGGTGCCGTACAACCCGCAGTCAGAGTTGCGCGCTAGCACGATAGCAGGATCCGGAATGAACAAGGCGTGGAGGGAGCGTGGGCTGGGGTGAATGCGGGGGAGTCATGGCAGGGCCGATGGAGGCGTTGTAGGGTCAGGATAAGGGCCGCGCCACGCTAGAAGTCGGGTATTGACAAGGGGTCGCGTCATCGACGGACGCCGCCGCCCTCGGGAGAGTGCGAGTACCGGGGGTAACGGAAATAGCTGCGCCGCTGTGGATACACGGCGAATACAGGTCTTAGTGTGGCGCGTAGCGATAGCGATGCAGGACAGACTTGAGAAGGGACGAGAAGCAAAAGGACAAACGATGAGACGCTAAAGGACAAGCAGGGCGCCAACCGGCGACCTGAATAGCAGTTTGGCCCGGAACGGCGGAATGAATTGATGCCGCGGATGCGATCGGACAGACACGTGGCGCGTGGCGCTCCATATCATAAAAATTAGCCGTGCGCCCTCTGCATGGCCTCACGTCCGTCCGTCCCTTTCTCCCTTTCTTCTCTCCACAATCCAATCCGCAGACGATAACCCCCAGATAACCCGACAAAATGACGGAATATGACTACAGCGAGGAAGCGTACATGCGCCACCTCGACACCCAAAATCGCATCGCAAATTGGGCACATACGACGAACCACATACCCCAGGCCGACCCCTTCGCCCCGCCCACCCCTGCCGGCGGCCCCGCCCCTTTACCCCGGCCGCGCCGACGGAGTACGCGCGATTCTGCCGACACCCGCCACCGGCGCTCCCCGCCGCCGCCCCCGCCCGCGCCGCGCCCGGTCCCACCACGCTCCCACACGGCCCCGCCACGAGGCGACGTCTACGGCATGCAGGGTGCACCGCCGTTCTACCCCGCCCCGCCCCAACCACAACCATACTACCCCCAGCCGCCCGCCGGCTACTTCGCCGCGCCCCCACCCCCGCCGCCGCCACCACCACCACAACACCGCCGCACGCGCTCGAGCTCGCAGCACGTCCCAGCGCCCGTGCGCCCCCAAAACTCGCGCAGCTACTCCTACTCCCAGCTCCCCCCGCCGCCGCAGTACGTCTACCCGCAGCCCGGCTACGGCGGGCAGCCGGTCTACCCGAATACGAAGGCCACATCACCCGTGTATGCACAGCCGCCGCCGGTGCAGATGTTCAAGCCGTCGCCCGTGTACGCGCAGCCTGCGCCGCAGCGTGAGGTCCCGCTGCTGCGGCGCGTCCTTGGGTTTAGTTTCGGTGGAGGGGGGAAGGATAGTAAGAATGGGAGCCGGGAGAGTAGTAGGACGCGGGATGGAAGAGACTCGAGGGACCGGAGTCGGGAGAGCAGTCGGACGCGGGAGGTCATTGGGAAGGAGCGGAGGCCGAGGAGGGGGGACTCGTATTGAGGGTGCGCCAGTCTTCTTTTTGGCGTACGTCTGCCACCCTCCATCCCACCGCGGCCCCCCGTTTTTCTGCCGCCGACACCCTGCATCGCCCTTCCATCCACATCCGCTCCCACCCGCACACGTACGTACACCAAACACCCTATAATCACCACCTACATTCCCGCTGTATTATATATCCTATACACCTCCATTCCGACATCCTGGTGTTTGTCGGTTCTGACGTTGGCCTCCAATGCGTCTTTGAGTTCGTCCGCGGAGGTGGGTCCATCCTCCGACATGTGTTGTCTTTTTGTCCTTTAGTTCATCCGCAGAGGTGGCATCGGTCCCTCGGTCCCTCGGTCTCTTACTTCGTGTCTCTTGTCTAAGTTGACATTCTCAGTACGTGGTATTTCTCTCTGTGCCTCCTCGAAGTTCTCTCTACGCGTTCGCATCGCATCCACAATTTTTTTGGCACGCAGGGAATTCCTCCGCATGCGTTCCCACTCGTTTCCTGACGCACTTTTATGATGAATTCCTCCTACTGAGCTCCACTGCAACGTATCCAGGTACACATCCACCATATCACCTCGGACGTGGTGCACGGCGCACACCCGCTTTCTATTGGTGTAAAAAAGACGGTATGTGGGAAGCCCGGGTTCGACTCCCGGCGTCCGAATGAATCTAGAGACCCGGGTAGGTAGTATTAATCTTTTGTTAGTCGAATCGAATTTCATTTTTGTGCGAGTTGTATTCGGACTCTTAGTTATCTTATTGGGAGGTTCAACATTTCAGAGCCTAATTTTAGGTTCAATATTTCAGGACACGTAAGGTTTCACCATATTTATTCTCTGGTTCCTGCTCGATTCTCTCTTACTTACCCAGGTGCACATTCCCTCTATCACCTCGGACGTGGTGCATGGTGCACACCCGCTGCTTATTCTGGTATAGTAAAGCCAGTCCGCGGGAAGCCCGGGTTCGACTCCCGGCGTCCGAATTATTCTTCTATCCATGCTCTTTTTTTCAGTCGGATGGTAACTGTTGTGATGTGTGGTTAGTGTTGGACTCGTACTCGCACGGATACTGTTGGGGGAAGTTTAACATCCGTAGTCTTATTTTTTGGAAGGTCCAACATTTGGGTATTTCGGGGTACGCAAGATTCAAGCCTAATGATTCTCTGGTTCCTGCTCGATTGTCTCATACTCAGCCGGGCGCAGAGTTGGTATAGGACCTCGGACGTGGTGTATGGTACACACCTGCTTTCTTTAACGCGTTTCTTAGGATCTGCCGCGGGACTCCCGGCGTCCAAATGTTGTGATTAGTGTTGGACTCGTACTCGTACGGATATTTTTTCGGGAGGTTTAACATCCGTAGTCTTATTTTTTGGAAGGTCCAACATTTGAGCATTTCGATGTGCACTCTCTGCTGGATGGCGCTGACAATTCTCTCCTACTTATATAGGTATACAGGGGATATAGGAAATCGGACGTGGTGCACGGCGCACACCCCCTTCCCATAAATGAAGAGCATGCAATGGAATGCGGCGGGAAACCCAGGTTCGACTGCCGGCGTCCGATTAAACTCCGAGTTCTCGTAGGATGTGTTTTCCCTCTTTCTTTGGCAGTTCATACTATTATCATTCTCTTACAAAAACAGGTGCGGATTAAAGGCAGGGAGTCGGATGTAGTGCACGGCGCACACCCGCTTTCCATTCGCAAGAAAGAATACAGCAGCGGGAAACCCGGGTTCAACTCCCGGCGTCCGAATGTCTCCTCCGTCGTTGAGATTTTTGTAGGCGGCTACGAATTTCTTTCCGGGGTGGATTCGTAGTCCTCGTCATCCCATTTTTGGGAGGTTCAACAGTATTTTAGGTTCAATATTTCAGGACACGTAAGGCTCAATCCCGAAATATTCTCTGCTGGATTGTCCCGACGATTCTATCTTACTTGCCCAGGTGCACATTGGTTTAAGGAATCGGACGTGGTGTATGGCGCACACCCGCTTTCTATGTTGGATGAAAAGAGATGGTGTGTGGGGAGCCCGGGTTCGACTCCTGGCGTTCGAACTACTCTTCATTCGGTGCTCTTTTTTCAGTCGGATGCGAATTTCTTTCTTCGCAGGTTGGATTCGTACTTCTAGTAATCCTATTATGGGAGGTTCAATAATTCAGGGTACGTAAGGTTCCACCATATTTATTCTCTCCTCCCTGCTCGATTCTCTCTTGCTTAGCCTGGCGCACAGTAGTAGCGAAACTCGGATGTCCCACTTGCCTTGCTGCAGACGTTTGTGTGAAGGCAGGAAGCCTGTTTTTAGAGTGGGTGCCTTCCAGTAAGATGTTGCACATTCTAGGGTGAGCTTCAGTCGGCCTTTATGTGAGTCTGTCGCTGACGATTCAACCTTACTCGACCAGGTCCAGACTGGAAACAGAAACTCGGACGTGGTGCACGGCATACACCCGCCTCCTGTTCCAGGTTACTCTGTTGGAGAAATCCTGTACACAGATGACGTTCCTCGAACGAAAAACCACCACGAATACGATAGGAATGCCGCTGGCTACACGACTGCGGGTTCAGACGGCAGAGCCGGATGTGAGTCCCTTTATATCGTTGAAACTCGTGCCTTTGGGGCTGATTCATCTCTCCGTCCTCGAATGAATGGAATACGCGACCAATACGGAATTATTTGATAAGTCGTAGGTTTCCTAGCCGGTCATTTTGTTGTATTGACACCAAGCCTTATTTACGTTGATGTTAGCTACATGTTCGATTCTGTTGGAGCACAATGTCGGGCCTTTATGTCGGGCCTTTATGTCGTCTGCCTGGCGCCATCGCCGTCCCATTTATGCATTACGCTTTCAAACCCTGACCCCAAAGATGGTATGCTAGCGATCGACTCCTGTATACATGTAGCGGCCCGAATCCAGCTCACGAACATCAGATTCAAAGACTCAAAACTTGTACAGACGGCATAAGGCCTACTAATTGGCAATTCTGACGAACTACTGTGAGTCCTCGACGAATTTTATATATTCTGAGGGAGAATGCGGATCAGGACGTGCATGTCAGCGGTTAGCTCCACGTCACCTTCTGAAATACCTGGAACAGGATGATGAAAATGCCGCAACTGAAACGGAACCACTCACTTCCGTCGTTGCGGCTGCTGCCACAGGTAATTGCGTAGCGGTACTGATGGTGTATTTTGTTTAACCAATAACGGGTACGATCGGTGTAGAGTATTGTGCCAACGGGCATCGAGCGCGCCTGTCGTCGCGGTGTCAAACGTGGAGCGCCGTTCATACTTAGGACGCACCCAGTACTCTCCATGGAGGACTTTGGAAATGATTCTGACAGGACAGTTATACAAACCCTCCCGCCGCTCTGGCTGGACAAGAACCATGGGTTTATCTGCCGTCGACCCGAGAGAATCGTCTTGGAGGAGAGAGAGATACGAGCTATCGACTATCGTTGTGTCGGCCGAGACATCTTCGTAAAGCTGCGCTGCGTAGCCGTAGATGTACTTCCCCTCAACTCTCGCAATGTGCCGCTTGATTGTCACAGGCGAGTGAGGCGGAGAGATGTGAATCTTCTCGACACGTCCGAGAGCTGGCTCGTGCGGATTGAATGAAACCGTCGACGTGTCCTCGCCGACCTGGGTAAACAAATGATAATATACTGTTAGGTTCAGCAGCCTGAGTTAATCTGCCTCCCAACCGATGAACACTCACTGTACTCGGGATTGCGCTTCCCACTCTCCCCATTGTTCATAGTGCGAGTCGCTGCAATTTCTGCAGCGGTAAGGTCCTCCAAGAAGACTAGAGCAAATGCGGTCTCCGGAGTGGAGCCGTTGAAGGTGCCAGCGCCAGGGCCGAGGATTACCACTTTTTCCGAGTTGCTCATGGGCGCAGGGGCGGCAGGAGTGAGATAGATGACACTCCTCAGCCCGGCGGGGTCAGATATATTCTCCATATTTGTGAGGCATTTTTTCAGCGAAGTAACAGTGCGCGGAGGAGGAACTGATCTCGCTGCAATACGGCCTACGAACGGATCGTTCGAATCAAACGCCGATTTCGAGGGGATCGCGCCATCGAGAGTGTATACCCGGTAGTATACTGTGCACGCCAGCCATTCAGCCTAGGGGCATTATCCGCCGATATCGCAGACCACTCACTGTAGCGAGGCTCAGGGCCTGAAGTAGCCTGTTCCTTCTTGGTTTCGGCCATGTTCTGGGAGTCGTAGACGGGAGGTGGATCTGAGTCTGGAATATCGAAGGTCATGGGGAAAGCGAGGTGAGGTCGGCGCGTGGTCTGTGGGCGCTTGAGAGTTACCTCATCATTTCCTAATCCGACCTCGCGCTCGTCTGTAAGATTTCGAGCCAGAAGTGAAACACAATATTGAAATCTCTCAGGGTTTGACTAGCTAGTCCTGCAAGGTTCTTGGGGAGCATTTTAATGAGTGGTGTTGTTCTTTGTTGTGGCATTGACGTGGAGCGCGCATGATCACGTGATCCAATACGTTCGTTTCTTTCTCGTCTTTCCGAAAGGTGGCACAAGCTGTCTATTACAGTGAACTAATAACATGCGCAGGAAACCTGTGTTAAATTTCGAGCATCAGGATTGCCTGGGGAACTCGTATGCTTCTCTTTATCTGTACGCTCTCCGATTCTCTCAAGTTCTCTCGTGACTCTCACCAGGTCCTATTCAATAAGAACTTCCCAACCATATGTTTCGTTCGACTTCGTTCTTCCTAAATGTTTTCATAAGATATTCCATTTGATTTTATTAACAACATTTCAGGGTACGTAAGGTTCCACCCTAGGTATTCTCTGGATTGTGCCGATGATTATCTCGTATGTGTACAGGATAAGACTCAGGATAATATTCAACCGGCACGGTTCTATTTCGGAACATACCACGATGTAGCCTGCAATACATGGGCCTAATATATACTGCGCTTACGGATTGATGGGAGGAATTTGGGCGTGGCGTATGGCACAGACGTCAGTTTCGGAGTTTGAAAACACAGAGATGGACATGCACCCAACAATGCTGGTTGTATTCGATTTCTCTCGATCGCCCTCGGTTGGTTGTGGAGTTCTACAAGCCTATATACGAGTGTCTTGATCTCTGTCTACACCTCAGAAACACTAGAAGCACCAAACAGCAACGCTCTCAGTCTCCCACGAGTCAACCTGATAGAAATTCCTGTCGATGAACCTCACGCGCAACACCTCTGTATTCTTCGAGCGCGGGAAAAAATCCGTATGGTCTCCAAAAAATGCGGGACCCCGATAGCAAATGAGGTGAGGCGGGCGAACCGATCGTCCGCCATGACCGCGGAGAACTCGAAGATGAGCAGCCCGGGCATGCACATGCAGGGGAAGGAGTCGTAGGTCCACGCGGGGAAGTATATCTCGAGAGTGTCGAGGATCGCAGGTGCGGAACGGAGAGTGCTGCAGATATCTTCGACGTTGTGGTTGCTGAGGTGGAGGCTGCGCAGATGCGTCAGCGCGCTGACATCCACTGTGATTGCGAGTGAGTCGTGGAAAATTTATATTAGATGGCATGCATACCGTCGCCATCGGCCGGCTTCGTGACCCGCAGGTCGTCGTCGTCGAGGTCGTCCTCTTTATTGTCATAGGTAGCGCGGAGTGTGAAGCTTCGGAGGGAATCTGCATTCGCGTGAAGGAACGAATTCAAGGCGGCCACGGGCCCCTATCAGTTGTAATAGCAGTGAAAGACGTTGATATCCAACTTCTCAAGCCGAAGCCCCCGATACTGTGTATCCACGCCAGAAGCTCCTCTGACTGGTGCCTCAGATCCAAGGTATGTAGATGGGCGAAGGCGGCATGTGGGATTGCCGGAAGAGGTTTCCCGCGCGCGAGGTTGGATCTGCCTGTGGGATTAGAATACACTGCAAGACTTTGTAGACGAGGGAACGATGCAACGAGGGCGAATACGTCCCCCACCCATCATAGAGTGCATTGTACGAGAATTCTTGGAGGCCTGGAAAGTGAGGTGCGATCCAGGAAAACGACACGGGCTGTCCTTCGGAGGATTTAAAGGTGGGATCTAAAAATATCATTTTATTGACGGGGGCCCGCGCCAGCACCTCAACGATCTCCCGCGGAGGCTCCGTTAAGCTCGGTGTCGACATTTAACACGATATTCCGGATCGCCGGGAGCATCGAACAGTATGGAGCGGCTGATGGCTAGGAACTCGTGCGCGGTGTCGCTGGACCGGTTGTATGCTGGAGGTCCGAGTTTTGTAAAGTCGATCGCAATGCGCTCGGCGAAAATATAATGGCGAGGGGCGGGGACCCATTTCCGGGCCACAAGACTGCTAGACAGGAGGCTCTCGCGATCGTCATGCAGGAAGTCGAAACAGCATCAGTGAGCTCTTGAGCCAGCTTCTCAGCGGACGACATGAGAGATATGTCAGCACAGCCTCCTAATGTGGCTGCCGTGATTGCCGAGCTACAACTGTTGATTTAAACCACAGTTTCGCGCAAACGCTGCCAATTCGGTGTGACGGACGTAGCAACAATGTCTTCGCCTGTTGGCTTCACATCTTTCGCTGAAAATCACAGATTGGAATCAGTAATTCAAGTGCAGGCCCGCAGAACTTAGCTAAAGTATGTGCGCCTAGAGGCGGAGACTTCACATGGGCCGACGTGCTTCACTTTGCCGGCCCTGGACAAGAGGGATTCGGGGGAAATAATGTGTATGCACTTGAAAAACTCTAGTCTCTTTTCTTCTCCATGACGATCCTCTCTGAGATAGGTGGTGTGCACGTTGGCTATGGAAACTCGGACATGGTGTATGGTTCACACCCGCTGCCGATTGAGAGTCATAGCAGCTTCGATCTGCGGGGAGACCGGGTTTGACTCCTGGCGTCCGGATTAGCTGTTCGTATCGCGGTTTTTTTGTTACGCATTTCAAGTTCATCATCATGATATTCCGCGGGTTCAAGCGTCCACGTCTGGTTGATACCCGGTTTTTCAGGACTTGGAACCAGACTTCGGATTGTATTTCATACTCTTTCTGGACAGCTGAGAAACAAAGACACGATTGGACCTCGTATCACATATTCAATCCCTTTTGGATGCTCTTGTATCTCTATAAATTCAGCTAACTCTGCGAACTAGCTCCACGTCTCAGTACGCGGTGGTGGTGACCACGCCATCCAGGTACGCCAACCACGACGGACGCGCAATTAATTCCTTGTACCATCTGTTGCGCAAACATCCAATCCATGAGCTGTTTTGAGCATGAGATATCCAAACTTACCTCGCGACGTTGGATTTCTTGGTCATGATGTCGATTCCACCCTTCGCCAACAATGGGGCGTAGGGGAGGTGAAAAAGGTCCGCAAGAGTGAGGGACTATGGGGTTGTATCAGCAACAGCCGCGGACACAATTTAATAAGAATAGGCCGCACATCGCCCGCAAGGTAGCGCTGCTTGCCCAGAATGACGTTGTACGCGTCGAGCTTCTTGTCCAGGATCTCGACCTGCGGCGGCACCGACTCGGGGTCGGTCGGCATGCCGAACATGCTGCGTGGCAGTGAATATCGAACGCAGGCGGCGAAGGAAGGGGGACGCACGGCTTCATCACGGTCTCGGACACGATCTTGACTGCGCTCGGGTCGAAGTTGCATATCTCCACGGCAGCGGCCTGCTCGAAGAGCGCGTGCGCCTTGGCCTCCGTCGGGATGAGGCCCGACTTGGGGTATTTTGTCGCGATGTAGCGGCAGATAGCGCGCGTCTCGTACAGGATGAAGCCGTCGTCGTCCTGCCAAGTAAAGTGAGCGATGCGCAAGGAACAAACCATTGAGAACGGGGTACGCACGATGTAGGGGATCTGCCCGAACGGCTGCTTCTCGAGGTACGCAGGGCTTTTGTGCTCGCCTTTCATGAGATCGACCTCAATGAGCTCGAAGGGGACCTTCAGCTCGTGGAGGACCGTGGCGACACGACGGGTGCAGGTCGCCTGTTTCATTCCGTAGAGTTTCAAAATGGCCATTGCGAACGGGTTTAGGTGTGTGGGATTAGAGTGGGGGCGGGTTGGTTTTTTTCGCTTTGAGTTGAATAGGGACTGGGAGGACTGGATATCGATAAGCATTTGAAGTCGCGGGTCTTTATACCAATTTTTGGAAAGGCTCATTACGGGGGACTATGACCACTCGGTAGAGGCTCTTACCAACCCATGTAAACCGCCAACGTCTGCTCATCGAGACAATGACAGCCACCCGCACATCAATATCATCCAGCTAGGCATTTTTCCCATGCTGAGACATACTTTGGGCGCTTCGTAACCCCGCACCGTAAGCGGAAGAGATTTACCCGGATACTACGGGCCCTTGTACGTCCTTGTACTTACCTTGCGTGGCACTGAGCTTTGGTGAACATGTGTAAACCGAGTGACAAAACCGCTTACAAATCCACAAACTTCCTGTCATTCGCCTCACGTGTGATTTAAACATGACACAGGGTTGCTGATGTCTCGGCCCCGTGGAATTAGCCGACGTTCTGCACATAGCTTAAGCACTCTAGGCTTTTTCATGGACGTATTGTGAGGTTGAGTCGATGTCGTATGAAATTTAAATGGCGTGATTCGATCTAATCAAATCTGTTCGGTTGTAAAGGTGTGTAGTTAGACATAACAAGGTAGGAAATTTCGAACCACCGACGTACGAGCAAAAAGGAAAAGGACAAAAGGACAAAACAAGTCCTGCTTGAGAATTTCGGGCGCCGAGAATGAAACCCGGACCTGCGGCCTGTGAAGAGAATGTATGTTGGTTCGTAACAGTATGCAACGGCAGCCTCCCTAGACGGATGATCATGGCGGAGACAGCGGATCGCCTGTTTAATATATGGGTCTAAATATATTGAGGTGGCTGAAAGCATTGAGGGCCCAATCGAGATAAACTTGCTATATTACTAGTAGATAGACGTCGATTCCAACTCCAACTTTGGCCTAACGTGTGGTGGACAGTTGATGGGGGGAACATTTGAGCTGCAAAATGCGTTGTGGGGGATATCGCCTGGCTTTCTTGAGTTCAATCCCACTCGAGAGTCGTTGTCCCTCGTGTCCGGCAGAATCTCAGGCGAAAGTGAAGAGATGTGGGTGGGGGTGGTTAATATTCATTGTCCGGCTATCCTACCCAGTTCCAACTTCCCACCACCGCGCACCAAGACGACCGGCGCATATAAGCCAATCGAGCAAGCCATGCCTCGACACGCCCTCAAGGAGAGCACTCTGAGCCGCCGAACGAGATGTCGTCGAAGTACGGGCCTGCGCGTATTCCGTTAGTATCTGTTACCGGGGAGGAGGGGGAGGGGCGCGTCGGAGATCGCGGAAGTGAGCAAAGCCGGGGATAAAATTCGATGAAAACCCGAGGATGAAATTCAAGTGAGAGATAAACCCGCGACGCACCGAGATGGTTCAGAATGCTCGCAGCCAACCGTCGGGTACTCCGTTATGTCCTGCCCGGGACACGGGACGAGGGTCGTCAGCAAGTCGTCCACGATGTGGATCTCGCCGCTCGAGTGCTGGAACCCGAGGAAGCGAGGCGGGACGGGGGGGACGGGGTCGTTTTGGTTTGTTACGAATGTGACACCGACCTTGAAAGGGAGAAGGAAAAACAGAAGATTAGAAATACAAATAGGGAGGAGAGAGTGTGCGCGATGCACGATGGGAACCCTAGAGTCGAGGAAGTTCGCCCAGGCGGGATTCCCGCTACAGGGAAGCCCGAAGCCGGCGACGGAAATGTCCACAGAAGGATCGACCGCCTTCTTAATTAGCGCACCAGTCATCCTTGCCAGGGCAGCGCCTAGAGATAATCAGAGTCGATAATCGGCCGCGGCGTGGATATGGGATGTTTTGCTTTTACGACGCACTGAGACTGGCCAGTGAGGACGACCTTCGTGACGCCCGTGCTCGCGAGCTCCGCCATGACGCCCGCGAGGAGCCCGTCCGCCGTGCAGTCGAGCGTCCGCTGGAACCCGTCGTGCACTTCGATGCCTACTGTGATAACAAAAACAATACATCGACGTTGAGTGGAAGTGCACGGAATGAAATAAAATGGAATTGGGACACACGACCCGCGGTTTCAGGGAAGCTCGACGCATTGAGAGGGACCAGCCCAAATTCTGCGTCGTTCAAAATCGACAGGCTGGGCGTCATGGGTAGTATGAGCGTGACGAGCATAAAATGGCATAAATCCCCACGCACATGTTACTCGCATCCGTGCCCTCGTGGGCGACGATGGTTTGCTCGTTGGCGTCATGCATGACGAAATCTAGGGGTTTGAGACTCGCGTTAGAGGCGGTAACCTTCGAATACGGCGTTGAACAGATAAAGTGGTGTGGCGCCCTCGTCTAAGCAGTGGCAAGTCAGACATGAGTCCACGAGACAAAAGAGGGATCGCACCTCCACCGGATTGTAGGAAGGTGACGCCAGTGAGCGCATCCCAGGGCGCGCCACAGCTCCAGGACGTGATCGTCACGCTCGCGCAGTACGCCACGCACGCGCCGGGCGGAGAAGCGTGCTATTCACCGTCGACAGCGCCACGGGCGTTATTGTGCCCGCGTTTCCAGACGTCGACGCCTTTGGCCCAAAAATCGGCCGCGAGAGCGCAGAGGTAAGGAGAGACACCAAAAAGAGGGGCACGAATATAGCTACCGGAAGGAAATTGAATTCGCGCTGCCAGGAAAGAAAGGGAAACAAGCAAGTCTTTAGAGACAGGGGGTCGGAAGAACGCAAAAAACTACGGCGTCGATTGACGAATTTCTTCACCGTGGCCGGGCCTGGGCTTGTGAATTCAAGGCCTTTTGCGACAGCTGCATCGCTGGAAGTAACATTGAAGCCCAGCCAGTGGTCACCGCTTCAATTGCACCAGTGAAGATTACAACCAGTTGGTGCGTGAAGGAAGACCGAAGGAGAAAATTGCATCACCCGGGTCGGATTGGATCAATGGATCACGTGCGGCACGATCAGCCGAACTTTATCGCCACCGACCAAAGGGATTCAGTGTGGAGAGATGAGGCCGGATATTCATAAGTACTTTCAAGTGAAATTGGTCTGGTTCTGGCTCTACAGAGGAGGGACCTGTATTCAGAAGTCTAAGAAAATCGGCTCTCGGCGGCGACCCGACATTTTCTAGTGTATCAGGGTAGTTCCGGCGGCCGCACGATAGGCACCAAAAACGAACCAGGTTGTCTAAAGACTCCGTGCAAGTGCAATCTCATTACTTTAATGTGGACGAATCAAAAGACAATCAACACATCACTGTGAAATTCGGACAAGCCAACCTTACAATCCAACTACTAAGAGGAACAAGTATATTGGGGAGCTTGCTCTGCTGCAATCCCGACAGAGTACCTACGAGCAAGTACACTACTTATATACTACTCCGTGACTCATACATGAGTCAGAACCGAAACTAAAGGAACCGCGATATAGTCAGAACAAGTCAAGTCATTTACATGCTTGGAGTTTGGATGACTCGGGAGTGACTCGGAGTGACTCATAATCCAACAATCACGGATCAAATCTTGTTGAATTGGTACTCCTAATGGTATTTCGGAGGTTCAAGGTTTGAGGGGGTTCAAGATTTCAACCCTACTTGCTTTTAGGCCATGATTCTCTCTCACTTGAACAGGTGCACATTTAGCACAGCGAACCGGACGTGGTGCACGATGCACTCCCGCCTTCTGTTGCAAGTTACTCTAGCATGTGCGAGCAGCCCGGGTTCGACTCCCGGCGTTCGAAATGGTCTTGGAGGAGGAAATTCAATTTGTTTTTACCGTGCGCCTATCAATATCTTTTTTCATCGTGTTGGATTCGTACTCACAATAATTTCATTCTGGTTCAACAGTTCAGGGTCACATTTTGCACGTAACACAAGGTTCAACCCTATTTCCAGCTAAGACCTGCCTGATTCCTCTCTTGCCTACACAGGTGCACAGGGCATATAGGAATTTGGGCGTGATGTATGGCACGCACCCGGGGCTCATTGTAGAAGCGAAGGCAATGCTGCAGCACGATTCCCGGCGTCGAATGGCTCTTGGTGCGAAAATGTATTTTTTCTTCGTTTGTCGTGTGATTTCCCCTCGAGGTTCTGGCTAGTTGAATCGTGTGATTTTTCACTTGCCACGTTCAGATAATGGGGTAATAATCCGGGCTTTCGTTCCTATTTCCTTACTGTGGGTTGTCCTCGCTAACGATTATCTCGTACCCAGCTGGCTGCTGCCACCTGCCTCTTGCCGAAACATTCCTGTCGTCTGTACTCGCTGGACCGCGTCCTGCATCCCAGCTAAGAGCTTTCAAGATCTAGCGTAGTTCGTTACCTTTGTTTGTTCGTTACCTTCGCTCGCAATGCCTTCTTGGATTATGACAGTCTGGTGCGGTTCATAAGAATAAACCTGCAGTTCATAGAAATATTCACAAGTGGTAGGTATCTAAACGTGCGCGTTTTGTCCGTCCAGCGCCAGATTGTGCAAATAAATGGAATGAGATATAATTATGCCTCAAGAATCGTCTCCTCTTCCGCATTGGGGCTCTGATGTTTCGGCAGCTCCAGCGCCTCCATTGACACTCCCTGGTAGTAGGGCGACAGGAACCGCGGGGGCCACACTACGCAATACAGCGTCATGGCAGTCCATACCGGCAGCGCATCGAGACAATAGAAGAACACCTCTTGCGTTGAGAGATAGCTGTGGAATCTGTCACTTATCGGTAAGCATAGACATTCTGGGATTCCTTGGAACATTTATTTACCCGGTAGCGAACTCGACCACGCGGAAGGTTGAGCGGAGCTGGATGGAGTCAGACGCGGATGAATTGGAGACACATGATGGGCAACACACCAGGAGGGCAGCGCAGGTGACGCAAAGCGTGTAGTATAATATCTTCCAGTCACCGACAAGATCCCTGTTCAATGGCGCAAAGTTTGACCTTCCGGTGGCATGCCACAACTGGGGGAAGTGTTTTCTCCTGCGGCGGAAACGTCAGGGAAGCAGGATCCCTAGCAATTCTGAGAGACATACATGCGGTTGCCAAACACAATGGTGAGCGCCGTGAACAGCGCGAAGGACACGAGCTGCAGACAGAGTCCCACCAGCAGGAGCTACATTGCACAGCTCAGTCTAGGGGAGGCAGTTGCGCATATAACGGTACGTACGTGCGTTCCGAGAATGTTGGTTTTGACTGTCTTGCTCGCGAGCAGGGCGCCGCCAACAGCTTGAATGAGGAACGTGGTTATGTCGCTGCAGACAAAGATGGTAGCCACGCGGGTTGGAGCGATGAACATGGTTTTGCTTGCGACTTCTGAACCAAAGATGGCCACGAGACGCCCAAGAATCATGTAGTTCAGCCCCAAGAATAGGCACGGCTAACCGCAGGCAGGTCAGCAGTGTCGGAGACGTTGGCAGGAAATCGCACGAACAGCAAGTAGGATTAACTACGCTCAACGTGGCGGTCAGGACTTGCGAGATCTGTTGAAGATACGGGGACTCACCGCGATCGTAGCGACATTGTTACCCTCCTTCGTGGCAGGATTGGCCGAGAGGATGCGTGTGACGAAGCCTCCGATCATCACTGTTCATATCGTGTTGAAATTCGATCGAGACAAATAGTTCTAGCACATACTGGCCATGCCAATGATCAATGTGAGCATGAAGGGCTTGGGCCAGCCGAACCGGAAGAACTCTGCCAAAATTTAGCACCTGCAGAAAACATGCTGACGCCAGTCAGGGCAAAAAACCTACGGATCAAGTGGACAAGACCAGAAAATCCGAAGAGAGCCAGCGCGACAGCGGCCGGCGCTATCGCCGGGGGCCTGCGGGAGACGAGGCGTCAGTGAAAGCATCTCGGGCTAGGATACCACGCTCACTTATCGTTCAAGTCGGAGTCGTCTGCGTCTGAATCTGAGTCTGCGGCCACCGAAAAGACCAGCGTTGAAAGAACCAGCGTACGAAGGAAAAGAGATGCCATTATGTGGAGAACTTCAAGGTCATCAATCTCACTTTTAAACTGGCGACCCAGGAGTTGGTAAACCGGAACCGTGTGACAGAGACAACGGATAGCTCTGATGACAACTGATGGAAGAGTAAGACCACTCTTGGGGCTGAAGTAAACAAATGCCCAACAATGGATCGGCGTGGTTCATCCGGATGACATCCGGATAAATCCATATAGATGTCGGATCATCCGCGGATGATGTTTCCTCTTGGTAGTTTCCGCCACATTTTTTCTTCTACGCCTCTTACACACCCTTGAAATTTCCAGTACCGGCACAGATGAATTTTGCATGTTAAACAAATCACCTAGAAATTTGGATGGACCCTCAATGCACACACCGACCATCCTTCATACCCAAAACTGTGATGAAACGAGTCAAACATATATCTCATCAACCACTACAGCAATGAATTCACTCAGTTTCGTGCTCTACCGAGATGATTCAGCCATAAAATAACTTTGGTGAAGGCAAGAGACTCCTGGAAATGCCGGGGAGTGCAAACCACAAAGCGCCATCCATTTTTCATCCGTGGGAAAGTTTATCCACCCATGAAAAATCCGTACGGACGGCATCCAGATGCTATGGGCCTTAATTCCGGTTCTCTTTTACGCTTCCGGATAAGTAGCAGACTTCCGTAAAACTGTATTCGAGACACTCAAGAGATGGCGGAACCGGTTAGACCAGCATGGATCTCGTTAACACAACTGTTGATTTATCTGCAAGCATACAAGTCTTTAAATACGAGCTACAGCGAGGCCGAAATCTCAGCCCAAAACGTATGATACGAGCTACGGTAGTTAGTCCAAAGTTCATGTATGTTGAACTTTAAATCAGCGAGTTACACGTATACATTACATCTCATTTCTGACGGACATGGACGGACAAAACACATATGTTTAGGTATGTACCATTTGTAATGCTTTACTTCTATGAACCGTATACGTGAGACTCCCAGGATCCAAGAAGGCATTGCGCGCGAAGGCAACGAGCAGAGCTCAGGACCCGGTAGGATTGAAGAGCTCAGTCTCACGGGGACAGCGCGACAAACAAATGACACAATTAATCGCACGGCGGGCCAAACGTGCTACGCTCGGTCTTGAAAGCTCTTAGGCTCAAATGTCTAGTTGTGAGCAGACGCAGGCCCTTCCATCGCGCCGTCGGAGTTCTCCTCACCTCGAAAATAAATAAATGAAAAAGACACTTACCGGGGTGTAAGGGATAAGAATGAATCGGACGTGGCGCACGGAACGTCGCCTCAAGTGTTGGATCTGGATCTAGTCTGAATCAATCGAGGCAGGCCGGAGGTCAGCTCCCTCTGTTTGAATAGGTCGGGTTTTTTTTTTTTTGCCTTTCTTTGTTTTCGGCGTTAATGTACCAAAATTTCGTCAGAATACTCTTTTACATGTATTACATTGCACTGTACGGTTTTACTGGGAATTCCGCACACTAGAATGACACAGGATGTATTTTGGTTTTGATGGCTAAATATTAGGACTTGTTCAAGACTTCCCTGTTCCATATTTGCCAATTAAACACCCCAGTGCAATTTAAAACATATAGAATAGTATCCTCACAAGATTATGGAACGCCGTGACCCGCTGTCCCATCTCCAGAGGGGCATTATATCGAAATCACATGATCTCCCAATTGGAACCCTTAGTGCCAGAAAATAAATATATTAGGTACCCTAAGCACTGTAAACAATCAACACAAATCGTTTGGTCAAGGTTTCAAGCCAATACACAAAGGAATGAAGGAGCTATAGGGGCAATAGTGAAAACAGCCATTTTTAGAAAAAAAATGATCCGCGCCTTATGTTCCGCAAAGAGCTGTAATGGTCTCTTGTGTAGGTCGGTGCAGAACGTGTATAGAGACTCGGATGTCGTGCACGATGCACGCCCTCCTCTTCTGAACATCAGACAAAGAAGTTTGTGGGAAGCCTGGGTTCGATTCCCACATCAGGGAAACCCCCTGCAGATATTTTATGATATTTTCCCACAACATATCGGAAAATACTCTCAGTTTGTTGGATGCGAGAAAATAGCTAAAAATATCTTATCCCCCCAGAAAATATCTAGATTTACATACAAGTGGTACATAACTGCTGCACAATTCCACGCAATTTTGAACACATTATTTCCCCAATTCATGTGAATATTGCTGTCAGATGCACATAGGATAGGAGAACAGGAATTCCATTATGGTCAAAACTACGCTACGACATGGTACAGAGGTAATGTATAGTAGTTACGGAACCCAGACCACCACCAAAACATCCACCCACCATCTACCAGCCCCAGTGCTGCAGGGCATCCTGTCCGCGAACATACATACCTTGTTTGAGTCTGTCGGCGAGACCGGATCAGACAAGATGCCATCGAGGAAGAGCGCAGCGAGCGAGCAACAGCTTCCTCGTGGAGTAGCGCGCAAGGGAGGAAGCCTATACTGGCACAAATTTGCGAATATCAGGGCTATTCATGAGCAGTGATGTAGACACGTACCAAGAACGCAAACGGGCAGTGGATGGGTTGATGCAGGTTGTGACGTGTCGGATCGAGCAGTGCAAAGATCTGCACTGTATGAGCATAAGGGTGTAGATGAAAAAAGAAACTAGCGCACCTACAGAACGATGCAGGGCACCGAGCATATGGTCCCACATCCATCAATCTGTCGCCGACCAGGTGCTCACGGGCACTAACTAGAGGATCTTAGAAAATAGGACAATGAGAAGGGTACAAAGGAGACTCAA